TCCCTCCCTAGGTACATTTGTCTGGCCACGGCCTTTCAATTTACGCTCCTTCAGTCCGAGTCTAACAGGTGAACAATATCAAATGGGTAGCTGAAGCTGAGGTGAGAGAACGGTGGGTAAATTGCAGCTCTGTTTGGACTCCGATTAGACCCTTCAGGCCCTCGCTGTAGTGGTGTGCATTTTGGAGGGAGGGCTTCCGAGTGATTGCAAAGTATTGCTAAACCAATGTGTCATACACACAACGATTTGTTGCAAGTGGCAAGTAAACTACAAACTCCACTACATTTTACCTCTGTAATAGGCTCAATGTAAACTCAAATAAATTATCTGATAATTTTCCCACATTCTAGTGGCTTTTCGATCCATTGACCGACCTTGCCGTTTGGTCTAAGCATCTCCATTCCGTAACCACTCACCTCTAGTGGTTTTATTATTAGCAGTCGACCAATCTGCCAGGTTATTTTATTATCTCTTGTTGGGCATTTGTAGATGAATGGCAGGCCGAGCAAATGTTGTATTAAGCGTCGACCATATGGCACCCTAACCCGTATAAACAACCACCTTTCCACTCACCGCCCTCTTTTCTAACACCGACTAACCGCGTTTCATTCCAAAATTCCAGTCCAGTAACGTCCACACGTAGCCTTCATATTCTCAACCTGTGAACACCGGAACTTAGGCAGCTACCTTCACGCCGTCGAACAATTATTGGATAAGCGACCTTTCGTCAACCGTAATGCTTCTACTCATAGGGCAAAAGCTACACTAGTGTAGGGAGATCAAAGTCCCTAACCGATGACGAAGGTAGCTCAATCCATCAATAAAAGACTTAGTGAACCCACTAGCTAGGAACATTGTGTTACTGTCTGAGTAAAAAGTCCTGAGAATACTTTAACAGAACTTAAACAGATATCCTCTGTAAATGCGAAATAGATGAGAGCATTTGAGTCAAATCTGACTGTGCCAATTCCCCGATTTCTGACCCACATAGCGCAGATTTTAGGCATCGGTAGTTTAGCGCAAAACTAGAATAAATCTGTCCACTTAGTCACATGCTGTCTAGCCATGCCGACCACTCAATACTCAATGCTCACCATATTGGACTAATGGAGACGAGAAGTGTCTGCTGGACGTTCGCGCGTCGGCTTTGAATCTCTTCTCCATCTCCTCGGCCTCAGAGTCAGAAGAATAGCAGTCAGGACTCTGGGTTGAATTCTTGAGCTTTTCCGTTAAGTTGTAGTAAAGGCTACAAGAGGGGCTATGAAGGCGCGTCCTGCCAAGGGGTCGCCTTTAGAACGAAAATACTTCAATGATAAATTTTTATCGTTTTAGTGTTGTTTACTTAAAAAAAGGGTCAGTGTCCGGGTCCAGCAACATCCTCCGAAGCATTTGGTGTAAATTATGGGGTCAGAAAGAACCAATGATGGGAAATGGGCTTTTATGTGAAATGAGGCAACGTTGTTATGTGTCGCAAGGCTTCTGGGATCTCAAAAATTCACGAGAACCGTATCCCAGTTCTACGCACCCCAGTTGTATGGACTCAGCAGCAAATTCTGCAGTTAAATTCCATCACATATGAATTTACTACGATTTATTTTTAAACTACTTACACTAGCTGCAAGATTCCGATGAATAAATAATTTCAAGAGTGAATAAACTTACTTCTTTTCCCTTCTTCCCCCACCAGTGTCCCGAAAGCCTTTTGCGAATGGATTGTGGTCAATTTTTAACTGAGTTATCTACAATATTGACAAAGTTAACGATTAGGAAATTGCGTTTTACCAGAGCGGCAGGTAGTTCTGCAAGTGACACGTGTTAGGATTAGTTTCAAGTCACAAAGTAATCGCTTTGAGTAACTCTGTGACCGAATCCTTCCGGTTATGCACACCACAAGGTCATGTGACTTAGATAATTTGGCCTAAAGAGATGTCATCCTCATGTGGCCATCTGCTCCTTATTACTACTGATCTAACATCTCTATATATTTGTCTAAAAGCCAACCATCTGAATTGAACGACGAAATTGGGGAAACTACAGGGCGATATTTACTCAAGGTTGAATGTTAATATATTAAGACATCGGTCGTGATTGTGTCATCATCGTCATTCTACGCTTGTCGACGCGCAGTAAATCCTTTACTTACAACTCAAAAACCCAAAGGCTCATATGAAACCTGGATTCTTCGGGTCATGGAATTTCAAACTGATGATTTGTGTGCCGGATGAAAAAGTCCCTGAAGTCGCGCGCCCTTATTTTCCAGAAATACTTCACTTATGATCTTCGCATGGTTTGAGTTGAAAAATCGTATAGCCATGTCGTATTATTCAAATTGTTTCGCCTGTTTGTGTAAAAATTCATTTGCTTAAGCAACTACCTCAATAAAAGTGCGCCTGCTCGCAAAACTTACAGTGGCCAAATTGCACAGGCATGTGACCCAAATTCATTGACTTGTAGTAAGTGTACGGACAAGTAGCTCATTGTTGTCCCTTGGACTTCATGGGACTGCCTGTCCCAAGGTAACACAGAATTAAAAGAGCAAAAAATTACCATTTCATTTTGATAGGCAGTAACCGCAACGAAGACAGTTTCTGGAAACGAGAATGAGTGAAAGGCGGAGTAAGGCAGCCGCATGACATCTTTCGCTTTGACCAGGTGAAATCGCGGCTGGTACTTATGCATTGAATTCAGAATAGTCTACAGATATAAATAAGTAGTTGTTGTTATGTACAAGTTTCACCAGATGCGATTATCTGTAAGCATCTTCAGGTTCATGTCAACGTCCTATGAAAGCCTAACGTTAGTGACACTACTGACACTATGCTAAATGCGCCTCACATATTACAGTGTGCAATTATTCCTTTTACAATGTTTGTCATTGTCTTATCTCACGAAGATTGCTTCGGTCTTTGCAGTTTGGTTCCAATAATACTTATTGTAAAAGTCCTGTTGGGTGCCCACAGCTTTATAGTGGCCTGTGAATAATGTAAACGACGGTAAACTGGTCTATTATTTGACAGGACACGGGCCTGTCGCCTAAATAATTGCTCCCACTGGGCGTATCCACCTCAAAAACGGGGGTTGACGTCTCTGACGCCTACTGTGGCGCCACATGCTAGCTTCCGCGGGACTGCACTCAGGGCAACACAATGCACGGGGCTCGCTTTCTTCTCAACTTTTTTCATGGTCTCTAATTTGCTTGCCACCGCTCTAGCGTGTGCGCACTGTAGTTATGTGGGCATTGTCACTTCTTGAGTCCAAAAGAGAACATTAACTTTTGCGTTAAACTCCTGTAATTAGAAGACGCGCGTAAAATGTGGCCCTGTCTTTAAATTCAGACGCGTAACATAACCTTTCGCTTACTTACAACACTCTTATAATCTTGTAGGTAATCGGGGTTATCAAAACCAATTCCTTTTATGAATTTGCTATTTCATAATTGCATGGACTTTAATTTTGCAAGATATCTCCAGCTTTAAATTTACCATCTTACACATTTTTTCCCGTCAGTTATTTTCCTATAAATGGTTTTCGAAAGAATTAGAAGCTCCAATATCTGCAAATTCATAATAAACATGTTTAGGCTCCCTCACCCCCTTTGCGCTTTTACTAGGCTGAATGACTTGTTGTGAATCGTGTTTATTCACACCCCCTAATCCGGTCGCTCCACCTCCGACACAGGGCTCCCCTTTTCGCAGCATGTCACCAGCAGCGCGGATCCCCAACTCCTCCCTCATTCACACGGATATTTATCTTGGATTAACCTCGCACCTAGGTCTCGATGTTAGCGCATGCATGACTCACACATCTGAGGTGTAAATACACACGCACAAACCCCACTCTTGAAACAACGACACCAACGTGGTTGGCTCTGAAGCCCCGATCTTCTTCATCGCAGATATCAGGGAACCGTAATAGGGCCAGAGTTATCTCAGTGACCTCGGCGTGGTTCAAGACCACACGCTGGGGCCCATAACAGACTCAATCAGAACCCGAGTATGACATTATGATTAGTCCAGGGACCCTCCAAAACACCACCGACTTTCTTACGTACCCATCATAATCTGGTCATATAGGGACTGCTCTAACTTTGAAGCATCATGCTCCCAAAATAAAAGCGTTCAAATTGTATTCGAAATTGGTATGATATTCAGCTACTTAATCGGTTTCTCCGATGCCGATTTGAAGAAAACAATATTTTTGCTTCATCCGAAATTTATGAATAAAACAAAAAATCAAGGTGGTGAGTGAACTAAGCTCCCCATACTCAAGAATCCGAGCGGTAGAAGGAGCGGTGTTTAAGTGTTGCTCAAGGTAAAGGAGAACCGAATGAAATGTTCTAATTAATTTATTTTTTTAGTTAAGTTCCGCTAGTTTTCCTCAATAATTGATGGGTTTATTCCCATGAAAACTGATTTAGTTTAAGTCAGTACAAAATTATAGTGATCAAACACGTCTTTATTCCTAAATACTACTTGCCGCAACCTATTGGGAGTGATGGAAATGAAATTCTGAAATCTAACTTTCAGAATTAATGAGATGTCAAAGGCACGACACAACGCCTTCAGAAGACGGCAAATGCTAAGAATGTGGGAAGGTGTGCCTTAAAAATCCACAATCGGCGTACCTTGCATGAAGATTCGGAGTGCTTTTAGGAATCTTCATGAACTTGCCCCCAGATATTCTATACCCAGCGTAGGATCGTCCACCACTTAAACACTTAGATTTTCGAGCTGAAGCATCAACTCACGAAAAGACAATTAAAGCTGGTCTTCCTTTCAGAACCAAACTACCTAGAGCGGACGAATCCGGCACTGTGGAGGCAGCTATTAAGGCAACCCACAAATTAGAAGCTCAACATCCATACCAATTAATTATTTGCTTACACACCATGCAAGTTTAGCCAGTCTTGTGGTTTTTTTTCCAAATGTAATCTGCAAACGCAATACCGAAAGCAAGCTCTTCGATTATTTAGATTTATGCTAGATGTATTTGTATGATGGTCAGCTCCTGTACAAGTTACATAGATTTCATATGGGATTGCTTTTTTTTACTAGGAAATTGGTACTTTTGGCCAGCGGTTTGTTCATCGCTCTCCCAAATGTATCTATTCTCATTCAGTTTGTATGCAACTGCTCCACTGCCGTTTAATTTCAACGTGACATCACTTTTGATTTGATTGTAAACTATTAACAGACGTACTACCAATTCACACTATTTCGGTAAAACTTGTCATTTTAAGAAACTGAGCCAGCCAACCGAATACAAAACATGTTTATGACATTGACCTAGATTTTTAATTCAGGATTACTTTCGATGTCTTGTAGACTACTCCATGGAGAGGAGGGTTTGATCCTCTGAATACAACATAATCTAAGTTGATTTCTGGAAGAAAACCGAGGGACGATAAATAGCAGAGAATGTTTTACACAAATCCGATTAACGTTATTTTTGCATACACACATCTTACTTGAACTTAAAGTTGTTCGGCCAACAGTTGCTGCTTCTGTTCTTTATGTGTGCTTAACAGGACCCTCATTTATGATCGGTCAATTTCGGACTACGTTGAAGTGAATGCGGTTATGCGACCGCACATCCAAAACCCAGAATGCGTTATGGCTTAAATCAGTAATATCGACAGTTTAATATCCTTCTCATAAATATATAAATAACACCAGAATTGCTTGCATTTTTTTGCTATGACCGACATGCTGCTAACATTACCGATTATGGGAAAAACATTTTTATACATATTGTAGTTTCCTTATTTGGATAAATCTGTCTGGTTTTCCAATAGATTAGCATTTGCATAGATCAGTAACAATCTATAAAAAAATCAATTAACTCACAAATCCGTGTTTATCGGAGATATTGTTGGTAAGTTTGAGCTTGTGGAAGGAAATGACCTTCTGCATCCACTGTTCGCCTGTAGACGGTGAGTCTGGATGAATGTACATTCGTTTAGGCATCTCGGGATCTGCCTTCCCAGCCACCATCCACTGGTTGTTGTGGAACTTGTAACGACAGTCATCGGCTGCAACCACCTCCAGTATCATTACGTACTTTGTTTGCTTCTCCAATCCCGACACCTTGACCTTAAACGGTGGAAACATTCGCCTGGACAAAAAGAGTGAATCATACGGGTTTCTTACTACATTTCGCGATTAGTATAAGGAAATCATAACAAGCAATTGCTGAGTGATTAGATGTGCTCTGACTTTATGGTCAAGTTGATTGATTTTGTTGGAATCTTAAGAACTGACGGTTGCCATGAGAAAGAACTGCAGTGTCTATCGTTTGTTTAGGTTTTGTGGTGTCAGATTTTCGTCTCTTTTTTGGATAATTTCAGAACCAGTCAAACTCCTAACGGATTTTCGTTCAGCCTGTAATGCTATCCCTCTGTCTCCTAAATTAATCCCTCGCCCCCTTTTCCCACTGCACCCCGGTTGACCCCTAGTCATGTTTACCTTAGAGGGCCACAGGGGAAACTTCATATTAAAGGATTACCATAATTATCAGCACACGCACGAAACATAACATGTGTCGGCTGTCAAACCTCCAATCCTGGGAAGTTAATTAGGCCTTCCAAAAGTGCCCCAATTTTACAGGATATAGTCATTGTTGATACCTGGCTATGTACGGATTAGAACGAAAACTCTAATTAGAATTAAACCACTGCAAGAGGCTCAGACAATATCACAATGTCACTGAGGGGAAGGATTTGCAAATTCATTTTGAAGTAGGATGCTAAAAAGTCTCTTTTGTGAGCCCGAAAACTTAAAACCGAGTGTGGGTGTTCACTTTCAGAGGAAGCTCCTCGTAGCTCCGGTAGTGAATCCCCTTTCTCACAATTGTGATTTAAACCACGTCCAATCAGACAAAATATAAAATTAATCAATAAATCAGTGTGGAGCTGTAGACGATGGTCAGAGGTGGTACTTGTGTCCTGAATTACTGCGTCAGCTGTCCTACGTGGATTTTTATCCCTGCATTGTGATTACGATATCTTTCACGCCAACCGAAGACCGGATTTACGCTCTGGTGCACCTCACACATCCAACCGACACACATCCAGTGTCAGTCATAGTGACTAGTAGTTTATTTACATGCAAGAAAGGCCAGGATGCATCTGCTCCCATTTCTACTTGTTTCCAGCAGCTAAATTGGATGTGTAGTCATATTATTCTGCTTTTCGGCAGTTTTTTCGGGTCAACGCCACAAAGTTGGTCATAGAGATGCTAAAGGTGTGAAAACAGTCTTCAAACGACCGATAGATCGTCGAGAGAAGGGCATAAAATCTACCCACAATTGTTACCAAAGTAGAAAATGAAGACGATGACGGAGACTAGATGACAGCCTAAAGACGCCGACCACAATCCTTGCACTGGAACAAAACTATGACTGCATGTACATAATTACATGGCTCCCTGGAATATGGGTACTTCTTCGCTGGTGGTCCTTGCAGGGGTTTCGATTATGTTTGATGCGTTCTCCGACTTTTGAGCTTGGTAAGCAAGAGACTCCTGTTGTACATGCGCAAAGTGCACCCACTCGAAGACCTCTCTTGCTTCGCCAGATAAAAAAGACCAGGCATTGAATTTTTCCGTGATACACGACTCTTGTGAAGTCATTGCTCGTCTTGTGTTCATTTTGCTCCTAATTTTGAGGTCCTCGGCAAACTTTGCATGTGCATGGAAGTCTTAAATCACTTTGATTTGCCTTGAGAGAAGCACCGGCTTGGCTGCTAGAGCTGATGCTCAATTATGTTTTTCTGTTTTCTGGGGGATTTAAGAAACATACCTTCGCCGAAAATTACTGGAAGGCGAGAGCTCAACATCTTGAAACAGTTAAAACTTGGAAAATGGTTTTAATGCGCGTTACACCCTTTCTCACATGCGATAGCTGCGATCGATTCAGGTATCTTGGGAAAGCAAACGCACACATTGGCCGATGGTCTTTGATAATGCTAGAGACGACTCTGATGAAATATGAAACAGATTCGAAGTTGGCGTCTATCTAAAGTTTCTGGATCTGTCCAAATGTGAAAGCTCCATATTACACTTTTTGACCCTCTCTCTGCCTATTGAATGGGCGTGTGCAAAAAGATGGGACTGATTCTCCAATACAGGGTGTTTTGTATCGTATATGCTGAAAACCGTTGCCATTTTTACCAAAGAATTATGAAAAAATGTCTCTCTTTGTTTTTTACTATCCAAATTAAAAGCACGAAAAGGCGGATTTTCGATTCACATGCGCTTGCGAAAATCCCCAGGAGAAACTATTATTTTTTAAAATTGACAATTTCTAAGGCAGTATAACATCAACATGGATCAAAAGTTCTCTTTTTTGCTATGACACTATTTTCTGTTACAGTAGCAGGGATTGAATTGAATTCAGTCATATTTTTGGGAATATGATGGGCCTGTTTACTTGGTTGGGCTCCAGTGCTACAAGTCTTCGTGTCTGCAAGGAACCAAAGTGTGGGGTGTATTCAACCAATCCAAAAGTACATTGCGGGATATAATTAACTGTGGTAAAGTAGCAAGTTACACTAAAACACCGTGAATGATTCTCGTTTTGGTATCAAGGTAAAAGGAGGTTATGCTGCCGTTAATGACCCTTGATTCGCCCCAAAATTGAAGGCATTTGCCGAGCTCCCTGGCGAAAAGGACAACCTGGGAAAGGGGCACGTGGAACATCTGCTTGCAATTCTCCCCGTTGATGTCTCGGTTTTTTAGAGGCAATAAACTAAATCTCTTTAAGAAGGCAAATGGAATGCTTGGGGGCGGGGTCCTCATTTAGCCTGATTTTCTGCCGAAAATGCGTGCAGGTTGCGTGTGAACTTCGCTACTTCAGTGAAATTTGTGTGGTTCACGCTTTCCTCCCTCATTAGAAGTCTCTGGTACAGAAGCCGGTAAAATTCTGTCTGAAGCTAACAAAATAATTTGCTCAAACTTCTGTTTTAATAGTATTGTTTCTCGTCAGTACAGCCAATTTAGAAAGAAAACTTAAATTCCCTAGTTTAGTGAAAGAGCCCGAAATAGTACATTGTTGACGACAAAAACTCGTTTAGTGAAGAGGGTTTCGGTTTGAGGTCGGCTTCATTTATAAGACAACCAATCATTTCAACGCGGGTTGCTCAGCTCTTCACGTGTGGTCATTTCCAATAGCACGGCGCCAATGGAAGGCCCTTAAGTTTTAGACCAGGCCCACCTTGACACTTCTAATTTAATAACGACCTAGTCTTTGCGTCCGCAACGGTGCGCACACATTTCATGCAAAATGGGATATTATAATAACTTATGTTGAAAAAAGAGCTGGGCCAGTAATCGACATTTGAGGGCAGGTCTGCCAAGCCGACCGTTTTTACATTCTTATTCCCCATCGCTTCCTGATTAACTGACAACTACGACCGGATTGCTTGGATTCTGTTCAAAAGCAACTGACCGTTTCGTCTCCATGAGCGGGTTCGGTGACGTTCAGCCTGACAGAACTCATGCTTAAATTTTGAACAAGGAAACACACTCATATCAACCTGTTAAATGATATCCCGATTGTAAATTCTGCGCAAAAGCGGCTTTTCAAGTCATCAGGATTGACTTAAGAGAACAGTTGGGACTATATAGACATGTCTTAAACATGTTTCTTCTGTTTAATCGTGCTTTCGGAGATTACCTTTTAGCTGAAACAATAAGTGGTTTCTACATAAATGTCATCTTTAATATCGGGCCATATCTTTCACATGTTTTGTTTGCAGTAGATTAAATCATTCTAGACAAGTCTAGCAAACGTACACTGGCATTTGATTTGTTTTAGCGCTAAGACGTTTCTGCGCACATTCACACATATTCATATCTGCTGGATCTCTGCTCTAAACACATGAAATAATCACATAGGTGTTTAGCGTCGCAGAGATTGCTAAACGCCCTTATGAGGCAATCTTCGATGGAAAATTAACATCGAAATTCTAAACCGAAATAACGATAGCTTATTTAGAACAAAGAATTTCGATTTTCTAAAAGGAAAAAGCTCGAGAATTGTAAAATTGGTATACCTATTGACGAATCGTGGAAAGAAGGATGCGGTAAAAATTGACGATATCAGCATTTCGGAGTCAAGGGCCTGCTAATGGTCTCCATATTTTAATGAAAACCAAGTAATCATGGGATAGACTCCATTATAATGCCAACATCGGTGTTTCATACCATGATTCTGAACAAATGGGAAGCCAGTTGTGGAAATCTTCGTACGTATACTGAGCTCGAAGGTAAAATCTGTCAGTGAATGTTGGTACGATTCCAATCAAACATGCACCTCATTATTGTGACTTACCTCCCACTCTTCGTGATAACCATCTCCGTTTCATAAGCGTGAAAACTTCTCCACAGGTAACTGTCCACCAGCTCTACAACAGGATCCTCCACTGTGGGTCGAGTTTCGTGGAGCCTGGAGAACGAGGAGGGGGGTAGCGACTCAACTCCCGCCATCGCCGAAGACATTGCAGAAGCAGCACTCTTGGCTTCGTCTCTGGTGGAAGAGCAAAGGCCAAGAGCGGCTTGGTAGGCCAAGTCCATTGGCTTGTGCGATTTTAACGACATGTCAAGTGCCGCATTATCCATGATTTTGACGCGAGGATTGTGTGAATATGTAACTGCTGTTCGCACCCTCCCCAAGCGCAAGCACGCGAGCACACACCTCCCAACACCCCATTGGTTGAGGGCGTCAAGAGTAGCGCCTATCGCGACGCGTGCAGGCCAAAGGCGCGCGTGTTTGGTGTTATGCTCGGGGGTGTGAAGGCGTTGATCGTGAAGCTAGTGCGTGAAAAGATCCGCACACGCAGTCGCACGAAACCTCCCGCACCAATAAGAAGCCGACGAGATGTGAACGAGTTGTGCGCGCTCTTCAAATGGCACGAGGTGAACCTGCGCGTGTGTTTGTAGTCTACAATTTCAGGGCATATTAAATTGTGTCGCCCTCTTGGTGTAATCCTTTTTACAATTAATACATGAAATTTGCGACCTGATCACTTTACAGATATTTAAATTACGCAAAACCTAAGTTTATCATTGGTTTAAAAACCGGCTCAGCAATTTCCAAATCAGTGCGGTTTGTTTGAACCATATTAGAAAATGCAAAAGTAAAACTGAATGACATCAAATTGACAACGCGAACGAACACCTATCATTAATTTCTGTAGGACATCTCGCATTAAAAGTATTAAAACTTCGATTCCGCGAGATTTCGGGTTGGTTAATTGCTAGTTATGTCTAGCTAATTCACGTCACGCAAATTATTCGGACTTGGGCTGAGAAATGTATATTTGCTTAATCACGTATTGACGCGCATCAGGCCCTCAAGTCTTTCGCATGCAAAGCGTTGTTATTTCGCACTTTAGTGACCTGTGTTACTACGTTAAAAATAGGTGACAGTGATTGCTTAAAACTAGAATATTAGTGCGATGTACCAAAAATAGACTAGTTTTAGCAGTTATAGGACAGAACAGAAATATGCCGGTTTTCAGTGAGTTATACTTGCAGTGGACAAGCTTAAATTAAACGCATTTAGGTACTAATGTCAACACACTCTTTAGTTTTTCTGCGAAGGTGTAATTTTTAAATTATAATACACACAATTTCGACATCAAATGCATAAATTTTGACTCTAAAGTGGCGAAAAGTTGCATTTTCTAAATGGGTTTCACCAGTAAAGCCGCATATGCATCATCAACTCAAATTCCACAATCTGCTCATCTGGCTCAAAACCAAATAAAAAAATCCTACGTGCTTGTCTTTGGCACACTTACACGACGCTTTTACACATAATCGGTTAATTATCCCACTTAAAGTAGCTCAAGTATAAAAAAACTGAAAAATATGCAAGAAAAATCGAAGACAAACGTGGGGTGTAATCCAGCAGACCTTAGCCCCACTTAGTTACAGTGAAAATTACGTGACCTCTCACTAGAGTGTTCAATAGCGCATTCACACCACGCAGCCTGACACACCTCTTCATTTCGCTCCACATCGTGGCAAAGCGCAGCTGTTCGGCCTGGGGGAGGGCGGCAAGAAAAACGACCATAATTTCACTTCAGTTTTGCTTATCTTTGCATTTGACTGGACACTACCTAATTAATAAGGTGTAAGGGCAGTTTCAAGGATGATATCTCGCTCCTGAGGTCCAGTCAGAAAAAAACCACCTGCAATTTAAGCAACATAAATAAACCCGCCGACTAAAGTTTTCTGGCGATTGTTCAAGTGACGTTCTGTTGGGCTTTAGACCTGTATTTCATAAATGTTTAGTGCTTAGGTGTTTGATGCGCCTACCTAAACGCCAAAGTTTAATTGTAGCTTTGCAGGGACCCTTCAGTTGAAATAATTGTTAATTTAAACCAGCAGAAAGCATGCTCATATATGGGAGCAAGCATTTTAAGAGGAAGATCTCAACGTACGCTAAATGTTGATGAAATCACTTTATAACAGAATATTTGTATAAATCCGACTGGACTTTAAAATTTATTTTATTGTATAGTCGTCATTCTCAGGGGCACTGTTCCCTTCATGTACCGATGTATGGATAAATATATGCCCGCATAACATGCACAAATCAGATGAGCACCTGAAAAATCTCTCAATCCTCAAACGGGTAAATTGCTTGGAAATAGTAGCTAGTCCGAACTAGGCTATGTAGTGTTAAATCAAGATATGCGAATCCACACAAAAATATAGAAATTTAGAAAATGTTTAAAAATCGTCCGTCATGAATTTCGACACATACAGTTCAGTCAATCTGCTGATTTGTCTGAAGTTTCAAGAGTTAACATTGATTTTAGAATAAATTTAAACGATTAATAAAAAAGTGGTATTTTAATACAGCTTGAGCAGCTAGGTGTAGTTAGAAATGTTGCAAAAGGGAGATGATTCCCCTGAAGATCTGTCCATTTGTGAAAGACCCGGTTGTAGTTCGGGAGGTGGATTCAACCAATTTCGCCGTGGTTGCCAAGATAGGGGAGGAAATGTATGGGAAAACTGAAATGAAGCATGGGGGTTTGTAAGAAGGACAAGCGCGATTAAATTTCCCCAAGTCACCACAAAAGTAGCCCCGGCCGATGGCGCCAAAGAGAGCGGCTTATCTGGGGTGGTCAAACGCTGCCGAAGCCCCTGGCGCCGCCAGCAAGCCGACACACACAGCGTGGAGCACATCCCCCCTTCACCACTGCCACCACCTCGTTTCCTTTATCCTCCCCTTCGGTCCATTTCATACCACCCTGGCTTTGAAACGATAATTAGTAGGTAGTCGAAAATCTTGAAATGGACCATTACCCTTTTATGCATGAAATTCACCGTGTGAGATATATTCACTGTGTAAGGTAAGCTATTAAAACGTGATATTCTGCTTCCTACATTTCAGTCGTACTGCCTTGTCCATAGATTAAAGCAAACCGATTAAGAACGGCCCAAATAACTGTTCGTGTCTGTTTAAGTGTCCAGCCACCAAGTCACCTCATAAACTTCATTTACCCCGGCTCTCAGATCTTCCCATTATATTAAGATATTTTCGTCTGCTTAATGGAAATCATTTGGGTGGTGAATTCTCTGATTCATCCTACCACAGGTATTCATCAAACCCCGACTCCATTTTGTACCTAACGTTCTTGTTCATATTAGTCAATTTTTATAGCAACACGCTGAACTGATTAAGTCTGAACGCAGTCTTTAGTTAATCTCGTGCACCAATTCGACACGACACAAGTTCAGGTTAAATGGACCGCGAGACAATTGTCAGATGGGGATGGATTAACATCTTAGCTGTCACTTGTGTGTACAAACTGGTCAAAAGCGGCAGCTAATGGTGTCCTACAGGTGATGGAAACGCGCCACATGGTTTTCATGACGTTGTCAACGCCAGTCACTTGATGGGCTTGGGAATGTGTCCAAAAGCAAACATGCCCATCATCGCACAAGCCTCGCTGACCTCATGTTGCTATCGCAGTTCGCATTTGACCAAACAGCGGCCACATTGAATACGGTAACGTGATTCGATACGCTGCTGAAGCAATTGGAGCAGAAAAATGTCATTTACCAAATACTCAGTAACTTGTTAGGCTTATCAATAGAGAAATTCGGTATCTGACATCACAAGTTTGTAATGGTATTTAGAAGCGGTTATTAGATGCTTGATTTGCTAAGATAATTTTATTTGAATTCTTTTGTGAATGCAACTCTGGTCATAAAACCGCGCTGAAGTTTCAGTCAGGGTGCTTTTAACTTGGGGATAGCAGATCTCACCATGGAAATTTTCTCGAAGATGAAAACTCCATTTCGTCTCATGGGCTAAAACTAAGCCAACCCAACACATGTTCTTTGGTTACGTTCGCAGTGGCTTTTCAGTCAGTCCGACTGGTTTCATAATTTTATGGTGGCTCAACCACTACTCTAAACAGTCTAGAATGACTGTCTGACCCCGGTTTGTTAAGTGGATCCAGAATAGCCCCTTATCGAGATGGAGGATCGATAGAGGATCACAATGGTGCCAGGTGTTCACAAGTGCGCACCCGCAGTTCTGAACGCAAATGCGTGTGCAGGTACAACACGGACACTTTATTGTTGCGCGCACGCGCACACACGCTCGTGCCACAACACCTGTTCGGGCGGGGCGTGGGGTCTGCGCAGTAACCTGTCCCCGTGGCCGATAAGCTCGTGTCCGTGCTCTGGGCCGCTTGACGGACGATACGGACTTCCGGTCGGCCCGCACCGTCGCACTCACTCCCTCGCTCCGCTAATGTACGACCGCGACGTTTTGGGCACAGCGCGTGTGCCAGAAAGCTGTGGTAATTGTTCACAGATTGGGCTGAAGTAGAAAAACTGCTGTAATCTCACAAATGGGTTCCACGTTTGTGCGAAAAATCAAATACATAAACGATTAAACCAAAGCAACCTTTCTGCGAGGAAATTAGGTCACAAATTATCGGGAAAGCCATAAAAAATAACGCTAGTATTTCGCATTTGAAGGACTCCTCTAATTAAAAGAGGATGATTGAAATATAATTCTCAATTACATTAAATGATCTGTTTTTTTTCTCAATCGCAGTTGATTTTCCATGTTCTCTCTGCTGCCGGCAGCCGTGGAGTCATCGGTGGAGCTAAGATTGTCCTGTTTCTCGTATTTCTTCAGCTTCCAATTCATTTTCCTCCGAC